GAGCTAGAGAGGAACATTAGAGGTTTCCTGTTCAACCAGACAGGGGAACCTGTGATGTGCTGCTTCAGCTATTTTATTCCAGTTCCCTTGGGAACTTCAAAATTTGTCACCTTGTATTGTAGTATAGCTCTTCTGACTCACACGGCTTCATTACCCAATCTAGCCTTCAAGAAACATCATTATTGTTAGTACTAATTCAGAACAGAGATAATTAATACTCAAAATACTCCAAAAGTGTGTGCTGCTTTGACTGAATAATATTGAGGCAGGTCAAAAGTAATTACCACGGTAATCAAGTTTGAATGTATGTTAGTTCACTATTATGGGAGTCTTAGGATAGTGATTATTGTCTATTTGTGTACGTTTCTGTTTTTGTTTTTAAACAAAATGGTTCCCATGGTTCTTGGACCATGGGAAGGTCCAAGAACCAAATTGTTCCGAGAACATTGTAAAGATCAGTTCCCTCTCCAATAGCTAAAGGTGTCTGAATGAGGCCTAATCTACCCTTCATATTCTTCAGCAGGTCAAGTGCCCGTGCCCACTTTCTCTTCGGTAGAACACCCATTCTTCATTTTCTTTCCCCCTTCATGTTAGCAGATTTGGAATGGAAAGTCATACACAATATAATATGTATGATGAGTTAATCCTCAGCTACAACACCAGCCACCACATGGTCTCAGGAGATTCAACTGACACTATTGTACTCTGGCCATATCATGAAAAGAAAAGACAATAATGGTTGGTAAAGTAGAAAGAAATAAGAAAAGGGGAAGTCTGTGTTCCAAATGGATAGACTCAACCAGGGAAGCTATGGCCCAGAATCTGTAACATCTGAGAACTGCTACAAATAGGGTCACATAGAGCTCTCTCATTCATGGGGTCACCATAAGTCAACTTGATATGTAGGGGATACTTCTACAGCCCTACATGGTTTGCGTTTAGGTTGCCTTCTCCTGTACAATCTTCCTCACATACTTATGTGCTCTGTGGGCCAGCCAGCTAGAATCCGACTGGCAACCATCACCCAGAGGACTTTTTCAACAACTGCCCCAAGACTGGAATTACCTACTGGAAGAGCTCCAACCGCTAAATCAGCTGTCAGAAATTAAACCACAACTTCCGGCAGGCCTACCTACTTAATTTTAGCTTGTGAATTTTAAGCTGCATTTTATTGATAAATTTTAAGTTACATTTTATATATGTGTGTTTGTATATGTATTTAATAGTGCTTTGTTTTACTTTGCTGTTTTAATTATATTGTACCCCACCTCAAGCCGCAAAGAAAGGTGGATAATAAATACATTATGGTTATGATTTCCACTTGTTCACATATTCAATTGAAAAAACCAGTCAGGCATCATGGGAATGCTACCCTTTTAGAAATGGGATAATTCAGTTTAAGTGGATTTAGTGGCATTCCTATTTTAAACAAGTAAAATATCTACTCAAATGCAGCCCAGAGCTTAGGCATTTTACACAGTGCTCCTGCTCAGAGTTGACCATGCATGGTGGAGCCATTGGGAAAGCAGGGTGGGGATTGTTGCATGATGACCATCTGACTGCTCCGAATTTTATGGTTGCATCTAGTAATACAGTGTCTAATCTGTGATTGTTAGGTTACTGTAAACAGATTGATGCAGCAAACATATTGCAGATTTAGCTCTGTTTTCATGCACATGAGTCTTAGCAAATGTTTAATATTCCCCACAGAATTACATTGTTTCTATTAAAAAGAGTGAGAGACAAAAAAAATCCCTTATTTCTCTACATGGTTGTTCATCTTTGTTCTTTACATCACATTTTAATGAAACTTTGCCAATGAAAAGATTATAGCTGCATTGCAGACTTGAAATAGTTGTTACCTTTCCCAAATTTTTTCTAAGTGTGGCATGTGAATTAGGATAAAGAATTTCCAATAGAGAAATCTTAGTATACCTGCCTTGAATGTTTCTGGGGTCAGTGAAATAGAAGTAAGTACAGTTAAACCAAGGCAAACAGTTCCATTCTGCTTTCATCTATATCTATACATCCATCCATCCTAAGTAATGTTAGCTACAGCATGAGGCCAGGAGTACATGGCTTCCTGACCAGACCCCACTGAAATGAATGAGAGCCACATCGAAGACCAAACATTTATTCTGTACATCTTCTTTTGTGCAGGAGAATATTTTGATGGGCTGTTACCATATTTGCATTATTGCACAAAAATCTGAATGCTTATTCTGAATGTTCTCTTGATATTAAATTGGTCACGGGCTCTTATCATAATCAGTTTCTTCAGAAAACAGTTAAATGCATTCAACAAAATAAACAAAAGACAGTGGGTATTCTGCCTGATATTTATTTTCTGTAGTTGGCACTGAAGTCCCAGTTTCAGAGTATGCACAGAAAAAAGGAACCATCAAGTTCTATAGATGAATGGCACTCCTTTCCCTGGTTGTTCAGCAGAAAATAACTTATTCCGAGGGAAGCCACTTCACAGAAATCATTAGTATGTACTTGTAAGTCAAACTCCAAAGGCAGGGAAGAAATTAACACAAGAAAGTTGGTCAACTGGCTATTTCATAGAGTTGGAAGAGTCCACAAAGACCTTCCAGTCCAATCACCTGCTACACATTCCCAATAAATGGCTCTACATCCATTTTTTAAAAACCTCCAAAGAAGGGGTCTCATCCACAGTCCCTGGCAGTGTATTCCACTGTTAAACAGCACCTACTGTCAAGAAGTCACTCTTCCTGCAAGTTGATTCAATATTTCCATGTTCTATAACATCAAAAACAATCTGCTCCAAGTCTCCCTCTATATAAAATTCAAACTACGTATGTATGTTGATTGGTTTGTACCACTAAGCATTTATTAGACCAAACTTGGCACAAATACCTTTTATTACCCGATTTAAAATAATTGCGGGATTTGAAGTACAAATTCATCCTGTGTTTGAGACAAGGGTCCAAAAAAATGCATAGAAAGGATGGCAGAAAGAAATGGCCACTCCATACCCAGGTCTGAAGGCCACAGTCGGACCATCCACCCCATAAGCAATTTAATGAAGATTTATATGTTGGGAGGATGTGTATGCCTGTGCCTTGCTCTGAGGCAGAGACTGTGACTTCCAAGAAAAGGTTGCATGAAGGAAGAAAAAGTAGAGGGGGAAATGGTATGAGGAAGAGAAGAAAGAAGGAAAGAGAAAAGAAGGAGAAAGGGGATCAAAATTCCTGTTTTCAATGAATTTTCAAATATTATTGCCCTTAGTTCCGATATTACTTCTGCCAGTTCTTGCAGTATCTTTTGATGTAGTTCACCTTGCCCTGGAGACATAAATTCATTTAGAATGGCCAGGTATTGGTCTGCTACCTTTTTCCTATTCTGTGCTGCATTTGCCTTCTTGCATGATCTGCTCCATTGTACCCTAGTCAAACACAGTCAAACCTAGTCAAACACAGTCAAACACTGTTGATGTTTTTTGGATAAGATGAAAACAAAGGTGTTGAGTACTGTTGTGCTTTTTCTCTGTATCTCATTACCACTTTGCCATCTTCTACAGACAGTGACCCCATTATTTCCTTGTTCTTCCTTTTACGTTGATTGTGACGACAATGCCCTTTTAATTGTTTTTTACCTTCCTAGTGCTGGCAGTTTGTTTTAATTCCATTTTGGTAATTTCCACTCTTTTCCATTTTTTTGGAAATGTTTAGTTCAGTTAAGACATCAATTTTCTTTAAACACCTCCAATTTTTCCTCTTCATTGGAACCGTTTGAAATTGTACCATCAATATCTCACTTTTAAGAAAAGTCCATCCATTATGAAATCTCTTCTATGAACTATTCAGCTAGTAAGAACAAAATGGCCCTGGAGGTTCCTTCCAACTTTATGATTCAAAAATGCTCCTTAGAAATATTAGGTTTTTTTATTCTTCTCAACAAGCTCACAGTGTGTTTAAAATTACAAGGGTAATGTAATTTCTGGCCCAGCTTGCTTGTCCGAATGCATCTCCCTTTACGTCCCACCTCGCAATTTAAGATCATCCGGGGAGGCCCTGCTTTTGCATCTGCCAGCGTCGCAAATCCATCTGGTGGGGACGAGAGACAGGGCCTTCTCGGCTGTGGCCCCCCGCCTATGGAACTTGCTTCCCAACGAGATAAGATCAGCCTCATCCCTCCTGTCTTTTAGGAAGAAACTAATATCGTGGATCTGGGACCAGGGTTTTGGACAGCAGGCATAATAGCACTTTGGATATGGAATTTGACTGGAATGGTGACACGGCTGACATTACTGTTTTTATGGTTTTAATTAATGCTCCTTCGGGAGTTGAGAAGGACAGGGTAGAATTGCCAGAAATAATAATAATAATAATAATAATAATAATAATAATAATAATAATAATAATAATAGATCTCTAGTAGCATGTCTACTGCACAGGCTTGGATTGGAAGTATTTTGTCATATGTTATCCTAGGAAACACAGTTCATGTGATAGTCTACACTGCCATGTGATCTAGATCAAATCAGATAATCTGGATTCAGAAGGTGGATTATATGACTTTGTAGATGTTTCCTGATCTAAGGTTGTTAAATGTACCTGTTTACTAGGCACATGTCAAAACTACAAATCCTTCCCCTTTAAAACCAGATGAATGACCTGTATTACTAACATTGCTCTGCTTATTCTAATTCATTAGAAACAACCACAATAAATGCTGTTAGAATGGCTTTGTTCTAGTTCTTTGTTTTGCAGTTCATTATTTCTAATCACAGTTATTTCAATTATGCTAAAAACAGCCCTCCCTCTCAAATCTGAAATGCTGGAACATAGTGAATGTTCCTAGTGCATTCACAAAATTTGATACTAAGAGCTTTTTTCTGTACTGCAATTTCTTTCTGTGTTTTATCTCTATTGGTAGTGATTTCTGTCTTTCATGAAAGCTGTCTCTTGCAGTTCTTTGAATTGCACTGCAGGCCAACTTACAACCTAGCATCCTCTTTACCTTCTTTATTGCAGCTGCATATGGGGCTGAAGGCTTTAGGGACTTTCACGCCATCATCCCCAGATCTTTGTCTCGTAAGTATGCTGTGCATGCATTATCAGTGTGTTGCCAAGCTTGCCCATCTTGCACATGTTATTTCCATCACTCTTGCATTTCCATTCATCTGTTTTTCTGTGCTTTGCTGAAACATGCTCAAGTTGCTCTACAGTGTAGGTTCTTTCAATTTTATTTCTACTTCGCTGAGGTGTGCTAGTAATATTATCTGTGGGCTTTTACAAATTGGTCTAAAGAAGCAAGAGTTCTCATATTAGTGCAATTTCACTAATATATTATAGCAATATAATGCTTTAAAAATAAAAAAGAAAGGGAAAGTAGAGAGTGGAATGATCGGTCCAATATATCTTAGAATTAAAAAATACCTTACTTTAAAGATGGATATAAAATATTGGACTTGGTGCCAGGAATTATAAAAAAAATCCAGGACAATATAAACATAATTTGGGTGCTTAAAAAAACTATAGACATCAATATTTGTAACCTTCTGACACTCTTTTCCACCAGTAGGACTGCATTATATTATGAAATTCAGTTCACATCATGAGACCTTTCCAAAAACATTCCTTATTCACAGGAAATCCACAGGAAAAGAGGGGGAAAGCTATAAGACACTTATAGCTGAACTTTTGACAATGGAAAAAAACACCAAGGATTCTCTGTCTTCATATTCATAGCTATCCTTGGAATCTTTAAGCATCTTTAAGCAGCAGAGCTCTAAGAGAGGAAAGACGTGGGCACATCTCCATCACTAAAGAGCGGAGTAGAAATTGATAACATTCCAAGACCTTTTAATTTTTGATCAGGAATAGTATAGAATTAAAACAGATGCAGTATCAAGATCAGAGGGACATAATTTTCAATGATTCTTGTATAGACAGCTCTTTGAGAATTAAAAAAATAGTCTTGAACAAAATAAATTGGAATTTGATTTGCAGGTATGTACAGATGATGAGCATTTGAAGATAAGTTGTTATTAAAATCGAAGAAGAATGAATTTAAGATTATATAATATACAGATGGAACAATTGGGGAAATGTAGTTGAAGAGATCAAAATTTACTTTGTAGTATGATCTTCATGACAATTTTTACAAATTTTAATTCAGAAAAAATGGCTATGTATTGGCTAAGGAGTTACTAATATATGTGGGAAATGTATACAAAGCAGCAAGAGACAATGTTTTCTCATATATGGAGGACTTGCTGACACAGCAAAACAATTTTGGAAATTGATACAAAATCTGATTCAGAAGGAATTTAAAAGAAAAATCCAATTGAAACCACAACAGATTTAAATGGGATAGATGGAAAGAGGGAACATAAAAGAGCTGTTATGATCAATGTCACAAGATTGTTGTACAAAAAGAAATTCCAAACTGGGATATTGGATAGTAAAAGTTTTTGAACTGTTAGAAATAGGAAATTTCACAGGGAAAATGGGGGAATTTCATGAAAGATTGGGAACTTTTATTTTCTTTTTGTAAGAAAAAGATAAGAAGATGTTAACTGGGGATTGAGAATTAGAACAGTTAGCTCTCTGGATCCATAATTTGGCCTCTACAGATTCAGCCATCATTTCTTGAATGATTACTTTAAAAATACAAACAGCAAAACTTAATTTTGGCATTTTCTATTTTCTATATTTTATTATGTTACTGTATATAATGGGACTTGAGCATCCATAGATTTTGTCATCCATAAAAGCTCCTGGAACCAAACCTGAGGGCTCACTGTAGTTTTGAACAAGAAGAAAAAACATGTAACAGCATGCGTGTAGGGGAAGTAGAATTTAGTATCATATGCAACATTGGAAGGAAAGTTGGAAGTCAACTTCTAATTAACTTTTTTTCTTCAATCTGTATTTTGTATTTCTTTTATTTACTATTTAATTTTGTATAGTACAAAATTATACAGTTTAGTAGCTGTAGCCAGAAGTAGTTAGTAGTTGGTAGTGATCAGTGATCAGATCTAATTTGATCAGATCTAGTTTGCCAAATAGTCACTGTTGAATGTTTTTATGTTGAATGTTTTTATATTGTGTAAATGCTATTTTAAATGCTATTTTAAATTGTAAGTCGCTTGGACTTACACCTTGGTGGAGAGCGACTAATTAAGAAATAAAGTGAAATGAAGTAGTGTGTACTTGGGAATATGAATATTGTAGCTAATAGTTCCAAAACATTGCTTCTAAAACAAAAGGTTGTTTTCAAATGTATAATAATAATAATAATAATGTCAATTGTAGCTTAAAAATTAAAAGACAGACTTGATTTGCTGGATCAAGAACCTGACTTCGTCTATGCCACAAATTTTAATTTAGAGGCTTCTGGGCTGTGAGTTCCTTCTTCACTTCACTGTCAGGGCAATGCAATACTTGCACAGTTTATTTTCTGGCTAGCCATTGCTGTATCAGGACAGTGGAATTTGGAGTGTGTGACTAACATATCTTACCTTATTCATTACATGAATAATCTGCCTATACCCAATCTATCAAAAATTACCAATCTGTTCTTAAATGGGAACAGTAGTTCTCCTCACAATGCTTAGTAATCTGGTATCTGGTAATTGCTGGTGTGTTTCTGATGTTGGTGGAAGGGAATAATTTCCCACACCAGCATTAAGGAGAATGATAATACTTGGGAATATGAATATTGTAGCTAATCGTTCCAAGACATTGCTTCTTAAACAAAAAGTTGTTTTCAAATCAGATTGGTATTTTTTTTAAAGTGACTTCCTAAATATACCCTAGATTATCTTAAGATAGTGAGGAGCACTTTCAAGCACATTCATGAATGGGATTAATTTCCAGTTATGTGCAGAGTTGAATCTCGACCTTTATTTTCTGTTTTGAACTGGAGAAGGAAGGATGCTGCAGGCTCAAGAAAAAAGTGCAGTGGTTTGAATTCATGCTGATCTGATGGTTTAGAGATGAAACCAATTCAAATTAATGGGACAGGCAGCTTCATTCATTCACCATGTTCTTAGCATCGCTGAATCAATCTTGAATGAACTGGAGACATTTTGAAATTACATTTTGTATTACAACATACATTTCAGATTTTGTTTCTAGTTTTGACGTTTTGGTACAATGATAAACAAATGAAGACGGAAGTCTTCAAGTTATGCCACTTCCCCAAAGTAATTTGTCCTCTCAAAAGGGAGAGAAGTTGGGGCAACAAAGGAGCTGTACACTTGAGGTTCTTCAGAAAGGGAAAGTGCTGAAAAAAGATGCTGGGCTCACTGAGTTGGCAGAATAGATTATCATAGAATCATAAGGTTGGAAGAGAGGTGATGGATGAAAAAACTCCAGCAGGAATTTGAGCCATGAGAACACTGATGCCATGGAGTGCAGTACCATACTAGGATGATATCTATCCAAAGAACCTGCCCTCTATGCTGTGGAATCATGGAAGTAGTGATTTTACAACATTTTAGCCATCTCTTCCAAAGGGCATTGGTGCCAAATTACAACTACCATTATTGTATAGCATTGAGCCATGGAACTTAAGAGTGATGTCAAACTGCACTAATTCTGCAGTGTAGATGCACCCCGCCTTCTCCCCAATGTTCTAGCTTCCTACCTTAGTAAACCTTTAAAAAAAAAGAATGTGAGAACATTCCAACATGTCCTCTAGTCTAAGCAACAGTCTGAGGTGGTCCAGGCCAACAAGAGCCAAACCACATGCTTTTTCTGGCCATTTATCTTGCTTCTGCCTGATGAGATTATTCTAACTGAATGCAAGCCATTCATCCAGTTCATTCTCTGAATTTTTAGATCAGCAATACATGTGCATAAAGATAACAATCACCTATCAGAACAGCATTAGTTACTATATTGTGTGTGACAAAATGCTCTACTTTTAGCGTATTCAGATTTGTAAGAAGAAAAAATTCCATTTATGACTTTAGTCTTGTGCCATCTTTTCTGTACAAGTAATTCAAATGCCTTCACAATGATTGGTGCACTGAAAAAAGAAATGGAGGATAAACACTGGATTTTTTTATTCCTGGTTCCATTTATTTTCTGAAGTAAAAAAACCAAAATACCCAGTTCTCTCATGTTGGATCTACACAATGTATGAGCCACTTGGCCAAATGCAGCCTATCAGTCTCACACACACACAAACATACATACACGCACAAACACACACACACAATGATATTTCTGGGACTCAATTAATCTCCTGACTTTGTTACTTAGCTGGAATTGCTTTTAAAAGGGGCAGATTTACCAATTATTTGGCAGTCATAATTCATGGCTGATGGAGTTTGACTGGCCATGATGGGTGTACTCCAGGGGTCGTCAAACTAAGGCCCGGGGGCCGGATGCGGCCCTCCAAGGCCATTTACCCAGCCCTCACTGAGGGTCAACCTAAGAATGAAACTACTTGAAAGCACACAATAAAAACAGCAATCCTATCCCATCAGCCAAAAGCAGGCCTACACTTTCCATTGAAATACTAATAAATTTATATTTGTTAAAATTGTTCTTAATTTTAATTATTGTATTGTTTTTATTTTATTTTTTTGCACTACAAATAAGATATGTGCAGTGTGCATAGGAATTCATTCATGTTTTTTTCAAATTATAATCTGGCCCACCAACAGTTTGAGGGATGATTGAAGGACTGTGACCTGGCCCTCTGTTTAAAAAGTTTGAGGACCCCTGGTGTACTCCTTATTGCTCTAGTTCCTTTAGAGGGCAACAATACTGGCACTGAGCAACTCTTGTTACTTGCTAGGTGTTTACTCTCATTGTTTTGCACATAATGTGGGACTTAATAACAGTGAAAGAAAATTAGAGGTATCTGTGTAAATTAATTGCCTACTATTAACCTTGCTGCTGAAATAATTCCAGTACCCACGTAGAAGTGTAAGTGTTGCTATAATTTACTCCTTAAGTGTATTGTACCTTCTGCTGAGAAATGCTTTCCTTTGTGCTCATTGTTACTTTGCCACAATGTTTTTGTCCATTTAAAAACACTGAGTGGCATCCCTTTATTGTTTCTTTCAGCCAGTAATATTAAAATAGAGGCACAGAGTGATGAAGAGAATGGGCGTGCCTGTGAAATGAATGGGGAAGAATGTGCAGAGGATTTACGAATGCTTGATGCCTCTGGAGAGAAAATAAATGGTTCACACAGTGGCAGCAAAGCCATGTCAGGAGTTGGAGGCATTCGGCTCCCTAACGGAAAGCTAAAGTGTGATGTCTGTGGGATAATTTGCATCGGTCCCAATGTTCTTATGGTTCACAAGAGAAGCCACACTGGTAAGGCCTAGCTGAGTTTATTTTTTTTTAGCCACTGAAAAGGTTACCTCATTGTGAGTTTTGTGAGCATATGTTTTCTTGTCTGATATTCAAGGCATCTTTATTTTTATTATTAACAGTTTTGTCATCTCATTCAAGGGAAGCTTTCCTTCAAAAATCCAGACAATTTGATAGAACATAAGCCATAGATGCCTTCTTCCAGTAGGGCAATTTTCACTTGTTGGATTCAAAATGATTTGCAAGTACAGGTGCACACACTAATGCATGCTTGCTGAGATGGTGGGAGCATTTGTCTTGCAGTACATATTTAGCTGAAAACTATTACCTATGGTCCCCATTGACACTTAAGTTTTCAATCTATTTGGAACATGGTCCACTTAAAACAGCTGACAGTTCACAATTCAACTATCTTTTGCCTGTCTCCTGCAGGAGAGGTAAAGCAGGGTATAAAAACAAATAATAATAATAATAATAATAATAATAATAATAATAGAATATTTCTTTATTTTACTAGAATCACTTTATAACAATGCTTTAACAGCTTCTGTTTCCATATATACTGTTTTTATCCCACCCTTTCAGTTATATTACTACCAAAATTGGTTTAAACCAAATCTGTTTTATTTTGCCAGCAATTGGTACTGCCATTTTCTACAATACTTTAAAAAGTGATTCTTGGTTTATATTGTTTTCAAAGGCAGCCCAGTTCTGTGAACAGTAGACTATGAATAATTCACTTTGTGACAATTTGTTTATGAAACATTTTATAATAAAAATGATTGAAATACCGAAGTAGAATTGTTCAGTTAATAGATACACTATGCAGTCCTTTTTCCACTGAGAGGTAAGACCAATGGATCTCAACATTGTAACAATTTATTGCTTGGATTAAAAATGTAAATCTCTGGTCAAGTAAAAAAAAGTTTGAGAATGAAAGTAAATGTAGTAACTATTGTGTTGACTGAAAATCAAGGGAAACTTTTATTTAAAATTGGCAAGTTTTATGGGTCATCAGACTATACTTGGCAAAGTAAACATAGAATAAAAAGTCTGAAAATAAATTGAGAGTTTATTGTAGAACAATAAAAAAAAAAGCTCACATAAACCAAGAAATTGGTTCAAAAATTGGTGGTTTCTCTGAAAGAATAGTGAGGAGATCACTGCTTTATTACATTTGTGGGAAGGGAGTCTAATCATGATCATGGGAACATTCTTGTAATAATAATTACTGCATAGAAGAAGCCAAATTGGATGTCTGATGAATCCAAGTGTTGTGATGTTATCAGATTTATCTCCTGAATCTTAAAGCATAGATTGTTTAGGGGATTGCCTATTTAATGCAATATTTATTCTGTTAAAGATTGCTCATTTAGGTTATTTTTTTCCCCCTATGGGTAAAACATAGGGTTTTTTTAACCAAAGAAAAATATTTTTGAGAAATTTGGTGTTGAGGTGACAAAGGTTAAATTTCATACGATCTAAATTATTATTCTGTGTGATTATTTTAAATGAGTTCTATCTCACCATTTGTCTAATTCATTTATTATAAATATCTGAGCTGTCATTTTGGTTCCAATATCCTCAGATAATCAAAATTCTGTTATTAGATGTAACTCTTGGATTTGTCACTTTCTTTTTTTAATTTTAAAATAATAATAAAATAATGTTAAAAAGACATTTTAAAAAAGTAGTTCATTTTGGTTGGAAAATTGTGTATATAACAAAATTCAGATGTTATAAGCCATTCTTAAAATTATTGTTTAATTATACCAGTAGCAGAATCAACATTTAATAGCATCTCATTTGGATTTACAGCCTGAAACACCAAAATATGCATGTAGTGTTTTTCAAATGTTCTGTCCTAAATAAACTGTTCAGTATCATTTTGCCTGCTAAGGAACCATGCCTTATTAGAGACTCCATTATTACAGGAGATTCTGGAGTTTTTAGGAAGGACATAGGGTAAGTTTACCTGGCTTTGCTATAATCTACTCTGCCAAACATTGGTGTGACACCTTAGAATTTAAATACCCTTGTGGCTTGCTTGGGAAAAACTGGTAACAGTGGATGAGCTTTCTATTAAAATAAATTCTATGCTGGTCAGCACTGAGTATAGTCTATCACAGTGGCATGCATCCTTTCATGCTGGACAGCTAGCATGGTAGAGGTTTGAGCATTGGACTACAACTCTGGAGACTAGAATTGAAATCTCCACTCAGCCATAGATACTAACTTTGGGCAAGTCATTTCCCCAGCCTCAGGGGAAGGCAAAGGCTCTGAAATTATCTTGGTGAAAAAACCCTTTAGGGTTGCCCAAAGTCAGAAATGTGTTGAAGGCATACAACAACAGCAAACCACTGAGGGAGGCTTGCTCCCCATTACACATATTTTCCCGTTTTTTTTTTCCAGGCTTCCTTGGAGCACTTCAGAATGAATTGGCTTAGTGAGCATAGCTTGTTTCAGTATCAATTTGAGATGCATGTAGTTAGAGTCCAAACCTGAACACCCTGCAGCTCTCATAATTCCTGGCCATTGGACAAGCCGGCTAGGGCTTCTGGGAGTTGGAGGCCCAAACAACTGGAGGGTTGCAGATTGTTCAGGCCTGAACTAAAATATAGTGTATTATTCCTATCAACTGTATCTTCATTCCATGTGAATAGAATTTGAAAACATTTGGAGCAACTACAGGTAACAACTTTAACTAATTAAATGTGATCTTTAGGAATCTTTCCATCTTCCTATCTTATCTCCATCAGCTCAGTACATAGTTTGCATTAGCTGTTCACTGTCTCTACCCACCTGATCTCATCACATGATTATGTTTCCATTATGTTGTTTTGATTAATTCCTGACCCCCAGCCCAATATTTATTAGTACTACATAATATTACGACTGGTTTAGGATTGGGAACAGTTGGCAGCATACACTGAATCCCATGCTCTGAGTAGTATACTGTTTCTTGCCAGTCTTAACACTACCTATTAATTGTCTTCTCCTTCTTATACAGCTGCCAACTCCATCCAGTTGTAGAGTATAAAACAAGTCGAAAATGCTCCTCCGTTTTCTCACTCTGGTCCCTGTTTGTGTGCTTACACAGGTGGTTTTGTGATCAGGAATTCAAAAGAGAAAATATAATAATTTCACGTTTTTCACATTAAAAGGATTCAAGAAGCTATAACTCTTGTTCCCCAGGTTTCAGCAGCAATGTAAAAAATTGAAAGTGGAGATGGGATGAACTATTAGTGACATTTAAGTATGTGTCTAATGAAGGTATGAGGCTTACAGAATGGGGCTGTTAATTCGTGTAAATCCTGCATATCACAGAGACCATTCTTCTGTTAAAATATTTGATTAATGAATAAAACTCTGGCATACTAAGTGCCAAATGTGATAAATGACTGACTCTACTTAAAAGGCCCGCTTACATATAATAGACACAGCTGTCAAGTGTAGATATGCAGAACAAGCACCTCCTATTTTTCACAAAATGCAGGGTTCAAAAGCTAACTGGACTGTTGGAGTCATATTCCTACTCAACAGAATAGAATTCCATCCACTAACCTCGCTGTGCCTACATTTCACTGAAATCCTCCGCTGCTGAGCTAAGCCCAAAATACAATGTACTAAGCATCAGCACACCATTCAGGGTTCATATACATCATAGGTATCTTGTATTTAATGAAAGTGGTTAATTCATATTTGACAACAATGCAGATCAATCAGTCCTGCATTGAATAGTGTTGCTTCAATTTGAAATAGCCTGTGAAGGAAGGAAAGAAGGAAGGCTTATGTAAATGGCTTCCCACCACTTATCTTGTCGCACAGGATTTTGGCTGTTTCAGAGAATATACTTCTTGAGTCACAGAGAATATACTTCAGGATGCTCTTAGGGATGGTAGAGAAATCCTTTAAACCCAGATTCCCCCCCCCCCCAGAATATTCCTAATGCTCAGCTCTCAAATAAGCAAACTAAAATACACGTGTACACCAATATTGGCAAACCCTGCCCATAAACATTTCCAATCTGTCAGGGATACTTTGTGCTTTTCCTGCATGGCAGGGGGTTGAACTAGATGGCCCACGTGGTCTCTCCGAACTCTCTTATTCTATTTTGTAGTCAAAATGCCTGCAAACAAAATATTGTATTCCTGGAAATTTCTCATATAAATAATTGAATAAGAGAAAATTCCTTTCAAAGACTGTATTTTAGGAAAAGTGTGTGGATCTAGGCATTCGCTAAGAGATACATCAGAACACTGGCACAAACTTTTATATAGATTTTAATATGGACTGCTAATATTTACTATCGCCCAGCCCATCAATCCTCCTTCCTTTCTGCTAATATCTCTTTAAGCTTCATCTTTGTTTCATCTTTGCTTAGCTTATTGATTCCCAAATAGATTCATTAACAAATATAAACCTCCAGATCTTGATTGACTGCAACTAGCCCAATCGGCCAATTAATAATTTGTTTAACAATTTACTCCAGGAGTCAATTTCATGCCTAAATTCCAACTATTCATGTAACCAACATTGATTGGGTTCATGATATTCTGAGGAAAGTTAGTTGTGCTTATAGCCTCTGAATAAGAAAATGCAGTCCTTAGATTAATTTTTATTCACTTTATTGTGCTATTAAACCTTGTGTAGTGTATTTTCATTCCAATACATGATCCACTACAAACAACTAACCTGATAATACAGATTTAGGTTTGGCATAACAAGATGCCTCTTCCATTCAGCATCTACATTATGTTGTCTTTGTTTCCTGGTTTATTTTTGGCCCATAGAAAGTGTAATAGTGCTATCATAAATAACATCCAGTTTTATCAGTTAAATGTGGAACAGGAAATCTAGCTGTGGAAGATCCTTAATTTTATAGTGTATTGGAAGGACCACTTCTTCCCAAATAACCCCATCCCAAGCTCTGGCATCCTCCTTAGAGACAAAGTAGAAATTACAATGTGAATTATATCTTTTCTGATTACATAATATTGATC